TAACCGGTCACGAAAAATCTCGCTTGTCCGAAAGCACCATAGTGCTTCCAACTTGTGACAGTCGCCTTGTGAAGACGGTCAGAACGGTAATCCGGTGTTCCGAAATTGATCGTTTAAGGACTCCCAGGTGTTTCATTTGTATATTTCTATTGACGTTTTGGACACCAAGATCTACATTTGATCTCCTCACAGGCGTTAAATTCTTGCTTCCAGTCCAGTTAGAATTTGAGTAACATGTTCCATGAACACACTCCTTGAAAGCCAGGCTTCTTCCTAATGATCTTTGCAAAATGAGCCTTGAACAGACTCTTAGGCTCTCTTCAGTACACAAACAGCAGTATGCGTATATATGTCCTTTTTAAAACGAATTGTAGCAGATCATTCTGCCACCTGTCTTTTGACATTAACCTTTGGTGATGTTCACCGTTCGGGGTTTATGACTTCCTTCTTCAGTGGGTTCTAATTGAGTGATGATGCATGTTTTACTTATTCGAACAGAAGAGATCAGTCCAAACGATACCCTAAGGTTATGGCACAGCCGGCGAAGCTGGAAATTGTCCTAGATTACTACGCGCGATGAAACTGCTTGATCACCATTGCCTAGTTTAACTTTTAGGAAGCTGAAAATACCATATAACCAAAGTAACGGAATGAAACTAACGGGCCACAAGTACATCCTCGACTATTTTCAATAGACACACACTCCAATAAACCCCGGGAAAAGTGATACGGTCAGAAATCTGACCTGAGAATCACAGACACAAAAACGAGAAGCAGATTAACATGGTTCTCTACGGACATGTTTTCCCTTTATTTATCCAGGCACGTGCTCCGAAATAGACTGTTGGTAACATGAATGCTGTTTAGGACTTCAGAAAGAGGCACAAGATTAAAACCCGATGTAGCTGAATTGGACATTAGTGCATAGTCTCATAGTACCTAGGTCCTTGTGCTTTCTGTCGTATTAAATTTTTCCGGCTCATCGGTTGGTGAGAACAGCGATTTTAGTCCCAGATATTCTCACACGAACGGAGAGTCCAGGTAACAACCAATTAGACAAGCTGACCAATTTTCGGGGTGAATAAAACTTTTCTCAAGTAGACTGTCTGGTGTGAAGTGGTGGCTGATTAACCGAAGTGGACCTTCAATGAAAAAGCTATATGGATGTCAAAGTTACACCGGGACGACCAAAATAGCTTGAAGGACAGGGATCCAGAAGGTGACCTTTGATTCCGGGGTTTTACAGGTCTATAATGCGCTATTTGACCAATAATACCAAAATACAGAACGGCGATGAAACACTTCACCTACTTGCAAAGTTTCGGTGCTCTTAAGTTTTCATCCTTTAAGTTGCCTTCATTATCATCGTTATCCCCGACAACACATAAGCAGTGGTAAATCCCGATGCTTTGCTGCCGCCGTTGAATAGTTTGATAGACTTTGGAGATAGTCAGGTCAACAGTTAACTGATCTGATCCAGGGTGCCCGGATCGGCAGGATCGCGCAACACTAGTTCGATCTCACATCTGCACCGTTCGCTGCTAGTCCTCTTCTGCGTACATTTCGTTTCGGAAGTAAAACCGTCAACAATAATATAATTTGGAGCTACAAATTAAATAGAAGACTACTTGATACTCGTTGCAAAGTAATAAACTCTGCCGAACCTCTGGGGGATTTCGTCGAAATCCAGCGGGCTGAATATACAGTTTTGTATCATTAGTAGGAGAACGGTTGTCCCGTCTTACCGGCTTTACAGATGAAATACTGAAAGGTTTTTTTCAGTTCCGGTATAACTTTCCCCTCAGGGACCAGTTTCTGTGAAACATGAGGTAGGTCATGAACATCTAGCTATGACAAGGCGCGAGTTTACGTGTTTAGGTCCCAAATGTAATTGCAATTATCTCTGAGTGATAAGTTTGAATTTTTGATTGTAACGCAGGCAGCTCTGTAAACGTGGGTAGTTTGGGTCTCAGCCAGCTTTAGTAATTCTAGATTTAGTAGTTCTGGCTGAGGTTGGAAACATCTTGTTGCATCGTCATCTCAAATTACTCATCGAAAGCTGATTGCGTGACTACATTCCAGGATAAAATAAAAAGACCACTCATTTGTTTAGTAGAAATCTAGATTCCTTTCAAATCATTGTGCAAAGCCAAAATTGCTCCCGACCGAATTTCAATCTATACTTGGAGACAAATGAGGAAACGTCAACCCCAAAATTACGGGATCTTAGTTTTGACCTAGTATTGGATATCGTTTAGGTGAAATCTGTATGCAAAATGCACATATTTTTGTCACCGTCAAATAAGACCACTTTTGGTTGTCTATCAGGTGGTTTTTATGGTAAGAAACAAATTCATTCAACTAAATTTGTAAATGCTCAAAGTGGCTTTTGAGATGTCTACCTTTTTTACGCTGTATTATCCAATAATATGCACTCATTTCAACCTTGTAATCTTGGTAACAGCTCTTTTTCTGTTTTCATGACAACTCTTGACATCATAGAACTCGGGATAATGGTTTTCCTAGCAATGGAATAAATCAAAACAGACCTACAGAACACAACGGATTCTTCAACATCCTCTAGTACCGGTTGTCTTCGAGCTTTCATCCTGTAGTTTGCTGAAAGCAGAACCAAAGTGCTCTCCTGAGGTATACCACATTGTATTGTCCCGCTTTTGGCAATATAGTTGCACTTTATATCCATGTTTTCCTCAACGAATTCTAACTATAAACCAAAGACTGAAGTAGTAGCTGTGCTTCGGACTTCTGAAGCTCAGTCATTTTCTATCGAAGATTGGAGTCAACTGTGCTTTTTCGTGCTCTTTGCACTTCTGAGGTAGACAGTGATGTGATATGCTCAGCTAACTCCATCATATTAACTTTACAGGCAGCTTAGCAGCTATGACTTAATTTGGTATTACCAACCGCTTTTATACTGTGGACGTTACCTGAAGATAATGAGGATATAACAAACCGAGTGGCTGAAGGATTTGATTTATTAGCATATAGCAGGAAAACCTGTTGAACAAATGGAATTTTATTGTAAGAAGTAGACGACATATCTGACGACTCAGGATATTATTCGAGCAACTACTTTTCCTCCACTGTAGTTTAGCTAAACAGTAACTGGAGATACTGAAGGTTTGGTTGCAGATCCAGGGTAACTGTGTGATATATCAACTCAGGTTAGATCCCTTATGCATCTTTGAGTCTTAACAAAAAAGGTGGAACTTTTTTCTGCAGCCGAATGTCACATCTAAAACTTGAATTTATCAAAAGGTTCTAACTACCTGTGTTGCGGTTTGTACCAACAAATTTCCAATCTGTATGTGGTTAAGCTAGTTTTGTGCTCCTGTGGACACTTATCAGGCACACTGAAATAATAATCTGAGCATACAAAATAATTTATGTCGGCCTCACAAATATGGGACTGCTTAACTGCTCAGCGTACATTCACGCAATGTAAATTCTATTCGGCTTCTTCTGGTTAACTTCCGACCAATAACAGGAACTTGTCTACTCTGATATTTCAAAGAATCTGTGGCATTAAACTATAACTGTGATCATCATGACTACACAATCCTAATGTAATTCACTTAAATTGAGTGACTGGGGGTCAAGGATTAAAGAAGAATTTCCAGTGTTCAACTGGTTGGTGAGAAATGCCAACATTTGTCCCTCATACTTCGGCTCGTTCATTGTCCACTGAAACGGTCTTGTACTACGACTAGCAGCTTTTTTCCGGAAAACACATAAATCGGCCTTGAGCGTACTCACTTTTAACAAAAAAGTCAATGGAATATTCCAAGAAGGGACAGTTTGGTTACAAGCTTCGGACAGAATCAACCAGAAGGATCATGATATCTAGGGTTACCATAATTTTGAGAGACTTACCCCATCTTGACGTAAATTTAGCGCCTTTTAAATTCGCGCAGAACGCAATGGACAACATTGAGGGGGAGCCGCTGTCAGATCATAGTAACAGCGGATGCACGCTTATTCAGCTATTAGGTCTACGCAGCATTGTAGGCCAGCAAACCGCGTTAAAAAATAGGGGATCATATATACAGGGTGTCTCATAATAGACGCACACATAGTACCCATGTTAAAACTTTAACACCAATTCAAACATTTATCATTTTTCATGTGGACATACAGGCATTATGGAGGTTTACTGTGAACAAAATGGCATTACAGATGTTGAAAAAACTGCCCCTTTCTTCCATAACTTGTTGGAGGCGGTATGAGATGTGAGAAACAGCACGTTTAACTTCTTCAAGCATCACTCGTACACACTCCTCTTCAGTTCTTGCTCTTTACTCCACCGAATTCTTCGGTTTATTTTTGTGATATACGCGAGCCTTGATCATCCCCCAAAACCAATAATCCAGAAGTGTGAGATCGGGTGACCTTGCGGGGCAAAAGTTCGGAAATCCACGAGCAATGCCTCTCATCAGAAAATTGCTCTTGGAGTAAGTTCTCACTTGGTTTGAGTAGTGGGATGAAGCACCATCTTGTTGAAAGACGGTCGATGACTTCTTGTGCTGCTTGAGTTGCGGGATAACATGTGTCTGCAGCATACGGAGGTAACTGTCGCCAGAAACTGTAGCATCAAAGAAAAATGGACGCAGGAGACACTTTGAGGAGAATCCCATCCACACACAGAGATGAGAGGAATGGAGATTAGGGGTGAGGTACTCGTGAGGAGCTTCACGGGACCATATCACCCAATTGTGCTTGTTGATTACGCCATACACAGAAAGATTTGCTTCATCGCTCCATAAAATGTTGGAAACGATTTCTTCATTGTCCAGCAGCCAGTTAGCGAACGTGACAATTTGCTGCTTGTCTTCTTCCGTGATGTTTTCTAATAAAGTGAACTGATACGGGTAGAGATGAGCGTGGCGTCTCATAATACAATGCACGCTGGCGCGGGGAATGCTGGTCAACTGAGACACCTGAGTTATTGACAAAGATGCCATGGTGCTCTGGGACTGAAGTTGCTCGACGGCATTCTGTACAATGGGCGCTCTTTCATCACTCAGAAACTTTCTCCCTTTGCCAGGAAAATCCAATACAGATCCAGTGAACTCAAATTTCGCAATCAAGCGTGTAATGGTCGACACGGTGAAAGGATCTTTGATGAGACCATGTTTGGCTTTGTGACCACGAAGTGCAGCGGTGGCGCTTTCACCAAGGGAATAACAAAGTTCCACAATTTCAATGGTTGTACTGACATCCATCGTAGATGGAAAAAATGCCAACACTCGCACACAAACCGCCCTTTATGTGGCTACTAATAATGAAAGATTTCGTCATCCTTCCTTACCCAATCAAATTTTACGTCTATCATGAGGCGCCCTGTATGTAGTTCCCCAAGTCTCCTCAGTTAAGGATGCGTACGCTAAGGAGGAACTCATTAGCTCTTTAGACACAAACCGTTATGTGGCTACTAATAATGAAAGATTTCGTCATCCTTCCTTACCCAATCAAATTTTACGTCTATCATGAGGCGCCCTGTATGTAGTTCCCCAAATCTCCTCAGTTAAGGATGCGTACGCTAAGGAGGAACTCATTAGCTCTTCAGCAGCCAAGGTAGCTCGGTATGTTGGGGATTCTAGTCGGAATGTCTGAAGGTTTTAATCCGTCCAGGATTTTAGAGGTGCTTTCGTCCGTACTTGCGTGTGCCTGGAATTATGATGTATGGAATTATGGTACATTCGGACGAATCATCATATACTTATCCTGACTAAATCATCAGTCAACCAACTCTACATTCGCCTGACTCTGAAGCTCAAACAAACAGTGGATTACACCTTGTCACCATTGAAATCCAACTCTAACAGTTCGCTCGCCAGCATTGATCTTTCGGTCTTTTCCCGCCGTCGCCAATCTTCAATGACTGCTTATAATATCAGTTTGGCATCTGGTGGTATCTAGAAAACTTTTGGTTCGTTTTCACGTGACAAAATTGTCAGGGCCACCAAGGTTTTTAAAGTACCCTCAACACGTGGTTTGGTGAATTATACAGCCCCGTAAGAATGCTTTGCATAGTTTTCCCTTTTGGAAGTTCACGGAGATGCTGGACAGGGAGATCCAATTTCCCTTATATTTTTCATCATGTCGATGGATAAGGTTACTGGGTTGTCGAGACCGGTTTGCCGGTTCCGTGACACCATAGTGGATGGTATTGCTTTCCAGGGTGACCGGGTTTTATGTGAAGAGAGGCTTGAAGCTGCTGGGGTCGAGTTGGGAAAAGTTGGTGTGACGATCTACTTCAGAGGGACCAAAGCATTGGTGAACGTGAATACCGGACAACTACGGTTTCAGTTGAACCCTTTTGTTTTACCGAGGATTTCACCATTTGTATGGGTCCGTCAGGCACCTTGATTTATTTGGGATCTTTACTTTCAAGTAAAAAGTAATCTGCACTCAGGAAGTCTATTTGGAGATAGCTACGTCTACCGAAAGAAACCCTAGTCATCTGGATCCACGCCGGTGGACAACTTGGGGAATTCGATGTTCCAAGCCTGGGTTCTACCATCTCGGTACCGATAGCTCCGCACCACCATTTTTTGTATGGGTTAGTTGCCTACCGGTAGCACCTTACTACTACTGTTGCTGGCAAACTATGCTAGTTTAGTCCACTTTTACGATACAGTCCCATCCATTCGCGGCCAGTCACAGAGACATGAGCCTACAGATACCAGCCAAACGATGAAACCAACATTGGGTATTTTTTCATCAACTAAACGAGTGGAATGGGAAACGAAGAAAACGACAATAGGTGTAAGGTCACTGAATAATCAGTGGTTACCGCTGCCTTACACTATTGAAGCACACAGGATCAATTGAGCATATAGCTGTCCGAACCAGTCACAATCTAGACAATGGGGAATGTTTCACCGGACATTGACGGGGTTGATGAGAACGCATACGTTCATCGATTGATTCAGCTTACGCACTTTACTTTAAGCACCTAAGCTTGAAACTCTCAAGTACCAATTCTTCATTATTCGTGCGATTTTTTCAACTCTAAGATGCCTTTGTACCCAGATTCAGCGGTGGCAGTTATGAATCTATCGACCGTGACTGATAAGAACTTCAGGTCACACCTTAGTATTAAGTGGGTCATAGACCGGTACATGAAGAACATGTCCTCTCTGGTTGCCTCTGTTAACATCAGTCAACTCGTGATCCTGTTGAATAAGGGTTTCTAGTTATGTCCAAATTACTCAGTATGTTGCTCTAAAGGCTCACTCAAACATGGAGCTTCCTGATGCCGTCCTGGTGGGTATTCGATTTTACTGAATTTCTGGGACCATTTTGTCTTGAATGGAATACGAGTCGTCTAACTTTAACTGCCTTCTCCAACAGTATACTGGTTTTGAAGCTATCTTTAAGTTTCTAGAAAATGTAACAAACGGGTCTTTAGTGGATCTTATGATCCTCATTATATTGGCTCCTTCGTTGATGAAAGCAAAAAAGTGTAACACTGACGGCCCAAGTTCACAAGAGATCATTCCTATGTCAATGCATTTTGATCATACAGCGAACGCTATTCAGAAGTGCTAGTAGTCGGCTCTTCGCTGTCGTATAGTTGCAAGTTTTTATCAGTGTCACGAATTAAAAAGTTCGCCATGCAGTTGGATGGTTCTAACCAGAAAACTAATGTTACCGACATGTGCAGGACATTTTAAGGATGACCGTAACTAGCAATAGGCCACGCTGACTATGGTCGGCGAACGGATTGGTCAATTGACCGACAGGCCAAACTTGATTATCGATTTGTAGTGCTGAATGTCATATTTTTTGTGTAAAACATGTGGATGGTATCATAAGTCGGGAGCTCGTCCACCGTTTGTTGTTAGCTGGACTTTACCTGACACTTAAATGGAATTTAAGGAGGTTTCGGTAGACACACTTCTTGTCGAAACTGAATTAATCCCTGAAGAATGCCACAGCCAAGGGTGACTGCATAATTCGGCAATTCCGAAGGGAAAGGCAAAGTGAGTTGGCATTTCAAAGGCGCTGAGCTCACTTGATTTCTACAGTTTTTTTTAGCGTGAAAGAAATTTCGTTCTCTTTGAGGCGTTCAAGTTAAAAGAGGGTTAGTGTTAGGGGAAGACTCAACTGAATCTAAGAAACAAACAGACCATCAGTCCAGTAACCGAGCATTTTAGACGTTCCAAAATTTTAGCTGGAGCGCTGTTAACAGGCCCTGGCAGCCCTTATGAAAAATCCCACTTCATTCGTTCGCAAAAACCGTTCTACCGTTTCAAGGTACAGAGTTCGTACGATTTCCCTAACATTCGTAAACAACCATTTGGGGTCGTAGCTTCACCCGGATGTTTTGTGTCCACGAATCTTTGTGTTTCTCACATTTTAGATGGGGTCGAAAAACGGTCTGTAGATTTATTGCTGAGACTCTCTTTGCTTTTGACGCGAAGGCTCAGTCAGTTTGAGTGACTGGATTGCAGAGTTGTTCGAGTTGGAGTGTCAAACAGTCATATCTCTTTCTACCATCGGGCTAGAAAGTGTTAGATATTGGTCAATAGTTCTTGGTTAGTTTCGGTGAAAATTTACACAATTTTGGACAGGATCCATGGCCTTTTTTATATGAACCATCCTAGGGGGATGTTCCTCCTGAGTGTCGTTTGCCATTTTGTTCTGTGTGAGTGGGTTTTCAAGGAAGATACTAATAATTTGGTCGGGTTGAGCTTTATGATGGATTGCCAGACAGCTTTCGACAGACTTTCTCTTCACCATGTAAGCTCGATCACCGTGTTTATATTCTGCTAAAGCATACAAGTGTACGCGATTGGCAAGATGCACTGATTCACAAATCAATGCGAGACTACCGAAATAATGAAAAACAGATTCAGCTGATAGATAGTGAAGTCTCCAGTCAAAATCAGTTCGGTGATTATGTGCAATTTAATGTTCATTCGGAACACGGGGACTGCGTCTATCTGATGAAGGCTATAAAGGGCAAAGCCGAAGTGGGCCTTCGAAGTGTTCGGTCTCTTATTAATGTGCTTCGTCTTAGAAAAATTACTCTTCCTTCCTAACCAAACCCTTTTGAAAGGCTAGTAAAATGAGTCTGCAAACTGGCACAAACTGACGACTCTTGTGGATCGCAAGCAAATCCTTACTTTACTTTTTCGTACCATGACCTCGCTACTTTGGAAGAGGATTTGCTGTGTAATGCATCGAAATTTCACTGCTATTCGGAATTAGTAAGGATCGACTTATGTAACTATTCCCGCAATGTCATTTTTTAATGGCGGTGGAACCGCAAATAGGGTACATGTACCTGGTGCAGGTACTGTGCACCTGTACCACTGGTTTTAAGAAGATCCACCAAAATAACTGTTTGAGCAGCGTAATATTGGAGAATCCATTAGGAGATTGCAGCACAAGCACGGGCCATGTTATCGAGCTACAGTGCAATATTAACGTGGACCTAGTTTGCACAATTTCCATTAGGCACAGTCGCGAATAACCTGACAAGTCTATTTGCGGGGAGATGGGTCGGAGTGATTAAGGCTGAGGAAGGTTGAAGATTGGGAACAATAGACGAACATGGATTGTGGACCTAATATGGCTAACTTTAAGCTGGCCATGGTCTTGGCGATGGCTACGCATATAACTGGATTTGATTAACCCTTCAGTCTTAATACGTTCATTATCTCTGGCTAGCTTTTTTGAGGGAATCCAGGATTCCCGTTCATTTGAAAAATAAAATGTAGATTGATAAAGGCGAGATATATCGGACCGACGTAACTCAGCTAGGAGCCAGGAAAACGCAAGTTTCAAACGTCATTAAGTCGGAGGATAACCATGAACTCAATCGAAAATGCTCCCGGCGGTGAAATGAAACACATTATTTACGGTCAAGGCTAAAAAGGTCAGTAAATAAGGTGATGGGTGAAACTTGCAATCCATGGGTGACTTAGCATGGTGTATAACGACGATTTCAGTGCTCGCTAAGATCTCTTCTCGTGAGGAGAACAGCGATTGGCATCTTACGATCGCAACCATCACACGCTCGTGTAATTTCCTCGCTAGGTTATCCATAACAGACCCAACCTTTTCATAACTTATAGTTCTACGACTACGTCAATTCTGCATGTGTTCAGTTTGCTGTACTTTGTTATGTCATTAGGCCTTGCTGGTGG